CTATTCGTGAGTGCTGTGGAGCCTTTTAATACTGACCGTCAAAACACTTTTGGAATTGTTGTTTGTTTTTATCGACTCTAGATGCTAAACAGGCAATGTTCAGGGTTTATTGGCTCATGTCGGCTAGGATTGCTCAGAATAAACAATTAATTCAATGGAATGGCTTGTGCAATACGTTACGTTGGCTCTGTGTTGTTACGAACAGATGGATCTGCTGGCGTTGCCTTCAGTGGTCAATCACATTGATTATTTTAGACTTTTGTGTCTGTATGCGGATATCATTTTTGCAACAGACTTCATATTCTATAGAGGAAGACATAAAACCAATGATCGAAGCAAAGAGGTCATCGGGAAAATACTAATTGACATTAAAATCAAGAGAATTTGCTTAATTGATTCTGTGGATTTACTCTGCAACCATAACTTGCAGTGGTGGTACCTCGGTTCCATTCTTGTATATAGTCTCTGCCTGAAGCTAATGATTGAACTGACACTGACAGGAGTTAGTTATTGGCTGCTTTAAACAGCAGTGCAGAAGCTTTTTGGCTTTTAAACCACCATTTTATTGGTAATTGGTCATAAACCAACACAGAACATCCGCGGATAAATGCGTTAAAATATTCCAAAAGAAATGTTAGCACTTTCAGCAGCATGTACACACTACGTGCTTCCTTCCCCTCCACCATCAAAAAATATATATATTTTCATCACTCGTCTCTAACACAGTCATTTTGGGTCATCACAGCCTTAACAGTGAAGACCACTGTGATCCAGGAGGTGTGCTGAGCCACTAATGGATGTTTGCAGTTCAGCAAATTAGAGTGGATTTTCAAACAAGATGGTGACATTTGAATTGGCAGCTTGGCCAAGATTACGTTGTCATATAACTTTTCTGAGGCAGTACTATGAGTTGCCAGGACAGGAATAACCCAAGGAATGGCAATGGAGTCTGCTCATGGAGCCAACAGGTTTATGGAACCTTTGAATGACACACACACATAGAAGGACAGGAGACAGAGACAGCTATGAATCCTTGACATTTCTGAAAGAGCAATGAAAAGCTCTTACTACACTTAGTTTCATCACACAATGTTTAAATGTCACATCAAGGCCTCTCCGTAGGTTGCATGTTTGTTGTCTGCATCTCCACTTGCACATATTGCACGTACATCTTTCCATTCATACAGAAAGTGCTCGGCAAATGTCCGTCGTTCCACGTATGCACGTGCTGTATGCTCGATCTTACATTCCATTCCAGGGGAGGCCATTTCTTACCTTGGGTATGGTCTCATTTCTATGCCCTTGTGTTCTTATAGCTGCACTTTGTGTGTGTGCATTAGCAGGCAGCCCTAGCTACAATCCACATTCTACGTCCACATTCTTCTCGGCTCAGAACAAAATCATAGCATTGGCTTGGACACACACAGGCAATATTTGTGTACACAAATTCTTGAATTCATTGTGTTAGTGACAGCACTGATTGAACTAATTGTAAGAAGATGCTGATGTAGAAAAGATGGATGTACAATAGCTTCACTTGCTGTATTTCACAGTAATAATTTCATCTAATGGATGAAGGAATACCTGATGTTATATGGAGCGCGTGGGCCTGCGCCATAAAAGGCTTTGAATCAGTGTGTACGCTTAAAGAAAAAAAGGAAATGCAATGCATTTGCTGCTTAACTGCAACAATGCAATAACACAGGTGATGTCATATCCTAATGGATCTGTGTTCACCTGTAGCTGTAGCTATAACACAGGGATGAATTCAAAACATACACACAGTACATTCTTCATGTTTCAAACTTAGCAAAAGTCCAACATCAGAGGTCCTAACACTGTAAGTTAACATTACTGTCACTTACAGAATCACATTTTTGCCTTAGGCTTCAGTTTGGTTGCAGTTAAAAAAAAAAGATACAGATGGGGTTTTTTGGTGTTGTAATTAACAACAGTTAAGTCATCTCATCAGTTAAGTGATTCTTCGAAACATTATTCATGCCTAGCTTACCATCAAAGCCAGCATTACCTCAGACCTGTCTGTGCCTGCAGGGGTTGTCTGGGAGCATGAGGAGGTGCTCATAGCTCACAGGCAAATTATTTAGTCTGTAGTGTCTATTTGATGTGGAACAACATGGCCGAGATGACGTCTGTGTAGTGTCTATTTGATGTGGAACAACACGGCCGAGATGACGTCTGATGAAAGCCACGACTATGAAAGGAGCAGGGGAATGACCTGAGATCAGAACATGTGGGTCATATCTCTGAACTCTACCTCATTGTGTCCTGTATAGTTAAGGACCACCAGCACAGTGTCTTTTGACCAAATTAACTAACTCTGAGATACTTTTATTATCACTTTGATTACCCACAGTTAAACTCTGCAACATCGGCCTGTATTTATATCCCAACGCTCCGTGACTGTTTCAGCTTTTTATCAGTTAGTCCTGTGGGATTTTATTAAGATAAGAATGCAGCCACAGTGCACAGTACAGTACAGTGACTCATATTTTTATCTCCGAGCTACACGGTGTAAATTGTTTTGACCTCCTGAGACTGCTGTAATCGTCTGCAGGAGTCATAACTCTGCTACGATTCTCATCATTCGAATGCCTGTGATATTTCTGCGTTTCTCTGATTGTCTTCTTCGTCTGTGTCTTCTCTACAGGCACACAGCTCTCACTGAGATGATTGCCAAATGGCATGTGACATCATCACCGTAGCTCATGACCTTTACCGCTCGCTCCTCTTATTCTTTTGGAACATTATAATAAAAATGTATTATCAGTCGAGCAACAGCTGAAAAGTTTTTTTCTGAATTATAAAACATTAGACAGAACTGACATTCAAACTTGGCACAGAGCCCAGCCCTAAATTCTGACTTACCTGGCAGCACACTTCTGTCTGCATTCTTGTCTTGATAAATTCACACCTGCAGTAAAACCTGGGAATGGTGCGTTTAGGTCAGGTGTGCGCACACTTTTGTTATCCATCTACATTGGATGCTAATTAAATGCATGTACCTCTATGGCACAATGTATATATGTATATACGTATATATATACATACATGTATATATACAGTATACACTGTATATAAGCAGTAGAGACTGAACTCTAATCATAGACATATGAAACCCTGATAAAGCACAGACTCCTGGTTGTGACTAATATTATTCCATTTGAAGCCTTGGTTGCAGCGAAGCGTTCTTTGATTATCTGGGTATGACCTAATAAGTACCTAGTTAGGAAGTTAGGAAGTATTTGAAGACAGGTTTTGTTTGATGGTGGCATAAAAAGTGAAGTGTAACACAGTAGTGAGGCTTTGCTTTATAGTTTCTGATGGGTGTTGACCAGTATTAACATTAGAAATGAACAGATCTGAGGAGCAATTAAGATTGAAGAGTTTGGAGGTTAAATCTGAGAGGTTTGGATGTGTGCCTTGGAAAGATAGTTGGTATTTTTTTGGACCAGTTATGTGGGGGATGGAGCAGGGACTATAGTGTAGTAAAGTGGACATTTCTCTTCTCTTTACACGTGCGTGGCTACAGACGTCATTTACGGTGTGTTTGAGTTATAGTTGCAGAACGATGAGGGGTGGCTAGGATTGTACCAAAGCTCCTCATGTGCAGGGAATTAGAACAGACGAGGGACTGATTGAATCACATGTGTGATGGAAACACAAGTGCCCGATAACCACAGTATGAAGAGCATTATTTCTTCGTCCGTAGCTTAAATCAAGACACAACTACCTGGCAACAGTCAGCAGTCAGTCAACCTCCTGTTTTTTTTCTTTCTTTTCTTTGGTGGCTGAATGGGCATACAGCTTTCCTTCCATCGTAATCGGAAAATACTTGTGCAAATTGTTCTATTCATGAGTGTTTGCATGGCCTTTGTACACAACTGTTTCCAGTTCAGTGTCCTCTGGGGTTCCAGTTCTTCTTTGGCACTTCTTTGTCACCAATTCAAGAACTTTGTTAGGGAGTTCTAGTCACAAGAGACATTACTGTGATTGATGTCCTCTGGTGC